ACTGATAAAGCCAGAATGGAGTTCATGAAATTTTATTTGACCTGATTTTTATTTGGCTAAATTTTATCTGGTCTGTTAAGTACAAAAAACAATCAAAAATAATAAAAATCACTCATACTCCAACCCAGAATTATCACTATTAGTGTTTGGCATATTTGTTTCTAATTTTTTCTACGTATACATACAATTTAAAACGTGTACAAGCTATATGGTAATAAAATGTTCTTTTAAAAGAATAAATAGGTCTTTCCTAATAAGGCTGAGTATCTTTTGCCCAGAAACACATTTAGTCCATAACAGGTGTAATGAACTAAATGTTTCTGTAAAATTCATATGTTGGAGCTATATTTGAAAGATATACATGATTATATAAATTTAGTGAGAAGGGCTTTGTAAGAAGCAGTGGCTCTTTGAAGATATTCTTATCATTACACAAATCACAGCATCTTTAGTCTTGAAGCCACTGTTTTTCTTCTGCTTAAAAATATTTCTTTTTTAGAAGCTTTTTATGGTATGTAGAATCAAGAAAAAAAGAAATTATTCTGAACTTGGTAGGAAAGAGATTTAAAACATACATTGATAATAATAAACATGAACATTTGCATAGATCTTTTTAAGATATATTTACATATGTTATTTTATTTGAACTCTGACAATATCAAACACATTTACATTAAGAAATAGACTACTGGTTTATAGCCATCAAAGTCACAGATCCAGGGTAGGAATCTAATTTACTTTTGGACTAGATAATAAAGCCCTCTTTTGATTTATTTTCCATGCTATGTTGGCCTTTGAGTGTTTATATGCAGTGTTCTTTTTTGGATCCATGAGGCTCTCAGAAAAGGAGGGGAAGGTATGGCCTGGTATAACAAAGAAATTACTGTTCTGTTTCAGTTCACCAAGTAGATTGCTCTGGGTCCATAAGAAGACAATATTTTTAAAAGCTAGGCTTTTGTCGAGGGCTTTCTTTTCTAAATTTCTCGTTATACGTCTTTATGACTCTGCTTTAATAAGAATCCCCATTAAATGTGAGTTCTGGTCTACTCAGAAAGCAGTATGGCTTAAGCTGGAAAAGAAGGAGATATGAGGAAGAGAAATTCCCACCCAAGAGGAAAGAAAGAACTTTCTCAGCGGAGAAGATGAGTGGGAAAGGGTGGAGGAGCTAGAGATGGGAAGGACTCTCCTATGGTGAGAATGCTGCCTGGGTTCCTACCAAGCCTAGGCTTCAGCCTGAAGGGAGAGAGAGGGCAGCACAGTGGAAACTCTGATGGAACCCTTAGATAGGTGAAAAGAAAGTCTGAGAACGTCCAGACGGGCGTTCTGCTTTTCTTTAGAGACCATTACGGTGCAGCACAGTGTAACAGCAAGGACAGGACAAGAGTTACAGATGATGAGCTTGAAGTGGCTTTCCGTAGTCTCTCTGAGCTCCATCTTGGGTGTGAGGGCTCGCTGACACACAAAAGAGGGCTGAGGGAGAAGGCTATCTAACAAGCCTGGGGGCATCACTGCAATAGGGGGCAGAGACCATGAGGGCTCTCGGTCCCTAGGATGATGTGCCCACATTGGGATTGTCTTGTGAACGTGGCAAGACTTCACCAAATCTATAGAACTACAGAAAGCCAAGTCTAATAAACTAGGGAAGATGGGTAAGTCCCCAAGAATAAGTCCTCAGCCATGGCACCTGTCTTTGAGGAGATGAGGGGCCACAACTTACACTATCCATGCATGCATCGGTTGCCAAAGGCAGCCCCCAACAGAACCAGATGGCGCAAAGATCAGATGCAGTCTTCTGGTCCTCCCAGCTCCTATTCCCGGAAGGCAATGGGAGCACCTCCCCCATCCCATGCATAGAGCCTCCAGCTTGGGAGCTCAGAGAGGAGTGGAAGAAAAGAGAAGCCATCCTGACAGAGACTAACCTTGAATTGAACTTGAATTAAGCCAGTAGAGATTGTGTTACTTTCAATTTGGCAAGTTTACATTAGCTGGAAGTCTCCAGAGAAAGATGAGTTCAGTAATACGGAATAAAGGAAGTTGCAGTTTTTTATACATCGGAAACTTAATACGTAAATTTCACCCCAGTTGCCCTACTTTTAAAGGCCAGTGCTCTCCCTTGCTCTGAGAAATCATCTTCTGACCATTTTCTTTGCCAAAGTAATTCAAGCCTTATCTTACAGATTTTCCCACAGGAATCCTACGACTATCTCAACCTAACTAGCTTTAGTTTTTTGAATTTGTTGCTTTAACCTTTGGTTCTGGCATTTTTTTTTTCTTTTGGAAAGCCTAGCTCTATTGCCCAGACTGGAGTGGCACAATCTCAGCGCACTGCAACCTCCACCTCCCAGGTTCAAGTGATTCTCATGCTGCAGCCCCCTGAGTAGCTGGGACTACAGTCATGAACCACCACACCTGGCTGATTTTTGTATTTTTAGTAGAGATGGGTTTTCGCCATGTTGGCTAAGCTGGTCTTGAACTCCTGACACCTCCAGTGATCTGCCTGCCTTAGCGACCCAAAGTGCTGGGATTACAGGTGTGAGCCACCGTGCCCGGCCAGTTATGGCATTCTTACTGAACCTCAAGCCTGATCAAACCTGAGTATCCTTACTCAACTGGCACTTCAGTTATATGCCAACCTTTCTTTCACATATATGTATATATATATATATATGCCAACCTTTCTTTCATATATATGTATATAATTGCTCTCTAGGCTCTGGGGTACATGTGCAGAACATGCAGAATTGTTGCATAGGTACCTACATGGCAATGTGGTTTGCTGCCTCCATCCCCCTGTCACCTATATCTGGCATTTCTCCCATGTTATCCCTCCCCAACCTCCCTACCCTCTGCTGTCCCTCCCCTATTCTCCCCCAACAGACCCCAGTGTGTGATGCTGCCCTCCCTGTGTTCATGTGTTCTCATTGTCAATACCCGGCTATGAGTGAGAACATGTGGTGTTTGATTTTGTGTGTGTGTGTGTGTGTGTGTGTGTGTGTGTGTGTGAGCAACATGGCTGTTTATTCACCTGGGTGCTGGTGGGCTGAGGCCAAAAAGCGTGTCAGCGAAAGCTGGTGGGATAGAAATTAGTTTTATAGGTTTGGGGTGGACAGTGGAAAGTTACAGTTTAGAATTAAAAACATGGTCTTGAACAGATGTTTGTAAACTCACCTTCATAACAGCATTATTTACAATTGTCAAAAGGTGGAAGCAACCCAAGTGTCAATCAATAGATGAAGGGATAAATGAAATTTGGTGTACAGATACAATGGCATGTTATACAGTCTTAAAAAGGGAGAAATAATTTACAGTTTAGAGTGTTTTTTTGCAAGCTGGAGGGGGTCGTAGGTTTGTAAGCTGGGAGGGGGTCGCAGGGTGTGGAGTCATGAGGTTGACCAAGGTCGGTTACAAAGTCCAATAGCCTTATCAATTAGGGCAGGAATAAGGAACAGCAGAGAATATGTCAACCACTGGGTGCCTACTTGACTTTGACATATTCTTCCTCATTTCATCGTCTTCCAGTTACTTTTGATTTTCCAGGAAGTCATCTGGAGTGTCTGTGCAGGTCACAGAGGGTAACATGGCACTGTCAGTCAGCCAAAAAGACCTTACATTCCTGTCTTTTTATATTAGTAATACAAAGGAAAAAGAGATGAAGAGTGGAGCAGTGGAATATCAGGATGGGCGGCAAAGAGGGCTGTTGGGGCAGTGTTTCTCAGGGCTTCTTCCAGTGGGATTCTTCTTCCAGAGGGCAGTGCGGAAACCTAAAAATGGGAAAGAATTTAGACTGCTGGGAGATTTCAGCGCAAGGGGTGATACTGTGGGGTTGTTACAGGACCATTTGTTGAATTGACTGATTGGTTATCGCTTGTATACAATTTTCTAGGAATTGAGAGATTAATTGGAAAACACAGGGTCCAAATAGGAGAAAGAGAAAGATAGTATCAGAGGACTAGGAATTGGAAGAAGCCATGACTCCCAGGGAGTGTCCGGCTAGTCCAGCCAGGTTTAATTTATTGATGGCATCATATACGAGGCCAGACAGGTTTACATAAGGAAAACTGAAAGTGCTATTTTCTGGTCATTTGGATTCAGGCCGGGACATGTTACAGAGATGTTTAGGTTTCAGATCGGGTGACAGTTGAAGAGGTTTTAGGTTTTCTAGGGCGCAGGCTAGAGGCGAAGACTGAGGAATAGAGGGCGGAATATTTCCCCTGGCAAAGGAGATAAATTTTAAGGAAAGGAGTAGAAGAGAGACTAGGAGAAGGAGGGAGCAGCTACCAGCATTTTCAGTAGGCATCTCTGATTCCTGGGCTGTAACGTGGCTGCGTGATCAAGGCAGGTGTCCCCTCAATTGACCAGACACCAAGGGAAGAGTCTTGTCTTCCTGAATCTGAGACTGAGTCGGAGTTTTTGAGTGAGAGGGAAAAATTTGTCTCCTCTGGCTCCACACAGATAAAGACTGCCTCTTCATCTCTACTAGAAAGAGAAAGATTTAAAGGAAAAGAGAGAGAAAGAGAGAGAGACTTGTCTCCTTGGGATCTGAAGGAAAAGAGAGAGAAGGGGACAGACTTGTCTCCCGTTCTCTAAAGGAAAAGAGAGAGAAAGTGGGGGAGACTGCTTACCCTATCTGAAGGTGGCGGCAGAGCTGTTCGGCACACTCTGTAGAATTTGTCTGGTTGTTTGGACAGCTTGGATGGGGAAGAAATTTGGGCTTTGGAAGGGGATACACGATACCCATTTGAGTATAGATGCTGAAGAAGCAAGAGGGTGAATTAAAAGGCCATGTTGCAATAGATGGGTAATAACAGGCTTTAAGCCTTTTAAAGCCTCTTGTGGGAGGGGGTACTAGGACTGGGTGGGATAAGGGTTTTTAGGTTTTAAGGGGATGATGAAGGATGAGTGACTCGTAGCAACAGATGGGGAGGTGATGTCCTGTACCCTAGGGTTAAGGTAAGGGGACATAAGGGGAGCTATTGAAGGAGGTACAGGTTTGGGAAGGAGGGTGACAAAGAGATGTGGCTGTAGCCCAGGAATAGTTAAGGAGGCAGACTATTTTGCCAGGATATCTTGGCCTAACAGGGGAACTGGTCGTTGTCCATAGGTTCTTGAAAACTGTGACTTTCAGTAAAACAATGTACTATATGCCACGGGAACTTACCTCTAGTTTATGTCAATTAGTCTATGGTAAAAGTGATTTCATTGAACAATACACTGTTTTGCTGAAAGTCTCAGTTTCCAAGAACCTATCAACAACATTGCATGAGGACTCACTGTATATATCCAAAAGAATTAAAAACATGGTCTTGAACAGATGTTTGTATACTCACCTTCATAACAACATTATTTACAATTGTCAAAAGGTGGAAGCAACCCAAGTGTCAATCAATAGATGAAGGGATAAATGAAATTTGGTGTACAGATACAATGGCATGTTATACAGTCTTAAAAAGGGAGAAATTGTGACACATGTTACAACATGAATGAATCTTGAGGACATTATATGCAGTGAAATAAGCCAGTCACAAAATAAGAAATGCTATATGACTCCATTTATATGAGTTACCTGATATCACACACACACACACACACATATGTATATATATACACATACATATATATTTAACTCTTGAAGGCATCAGAGAGTAGCCAGGCAAGGAAAATTTGCAGGTTCAAGGTCTGAAAAAAAAGCCAAAGGAGTTAAGATGTGCATATTTGGGGCCACTTTTCTCTTCAAGCTGATTATTAATTCTGAAAGTGAAAGTGGTATCTGAAAGGCTGAGAAGTGGACAGAGCTTTTGGTAGTCTCATAGGTATGAAAGAAAAAATAAAATAGAGTTCACAGCCCAATAAGGAGGAGAGGACCTGATATCCCAGACCTTTAGTTGGAGGTCCAAAAGCCTATACCAAAAGAAAAAGGTAAACCAGAGCTGGATCAGTCCTCAGGATGAAGGAAATCCATGTTCACGTTATTTCAATTTTATAATATAATCTTCCCCAGCCCAGCCTCCTACTAGAAGAGTAAGTAAATTATCTTTGAAGGAAGATAACATCTAGAGCTTCAAATTACCTTCACAGTTTGTCATTCAAAATGCCTGGCATTCAATAAAAAATATCCAGGTAACATCTAAAGTTCAGTTTAATAGTAAAATATCAATGCTAGTGTCTTTGTTTTGACAAATTTACCACAGTGGTATAAGATAGTAGGAGAAACTGGAACTGGCTGAAAGACATAAGGAAGTCTAGATTACTTTTGCAACTTTTTTGTAAACCTAAATTTATTCCGAAATAAGAAGTTTATTTTAAAAGAAAACCAGCCAAGCAAGAATAGAAGAATTTATTTGAAACCAATTGACTAGAATGAAGACAAAATAAGTAACCAGAAACTGGAATTTTCAGATACAGACTTAAAGCTCATCAAATGGGTTTAACATAAAATTTGACAGTGAATGATAAGTTAGATGGGAAAAAATACTGAAAACGAAGTACAAAGAGAAAAAAGAGTAGAAAATACAAGAAAGCATGTGAGAGGAGGAAAGGATGAAGAAGGTTGGGTACAGGCCATATTTGCAATAGTAGTGGTTGATAACTTCTCAAAACTGAATAGATACTGGGTCATGTTCAAGAAGCACTATAAACACCAAGCCAAGAAAATAAAATTTTTAAAGAAAATCATAAAGCTTATGCAAAGTTTCTCTACTTTTTAGTCAAAGGGAAATGCAAATTAAAACCATAATGAGATAGCATTTGCCAAGATGTCTAATATTTTTTAAGTGGACAATGCAGTTGTGGGCAAAATTGTGTAGCAGTGGCTACTCTTATATACAGCTGTTGGGACTGAAAACTGAGAAAAAACGTCTTGGAAGCCTACTTGATGATGTCTACCAAATGCTGAACATAACAACTCGTCCTATAAGTATCTGCCAGATACAAATGCACTGAAAGGTATGTTCAAGAATGCTCACAGCAGCATTATTCACCACAGAATGAATAAATAAATTATGGTACCTGGAAATTAATTAATTGCATGAGCAAACTATTGAGGGAAAGTCTACACACAAAAGAACACATACAGTTGTTTCTCTGTACGCACAGGGGATTGGTCCCAGGACCCCATTTGGATACCAAAACACTAGGATGCTCAATCCCTTTAAATAACATGGTGTAGTATTTGCATGTAACCTACACACATTCTCTATATTCTTTAAATCATCTCAGTATTACATACAGCATCTAACACAATGTAAATCCTACGTAAACAGCTGGTATACTCTACATTTTATTTGTATTATTTTATTGTGGTATTGTTATTTTTATTGTCTTTTTTACTAATATTTTTGATCCACAGTTGGTAAAATCTGAAGATGCAGAACCGATTATGGAGGGCTGACTGTACTGTATTTGGTTGGGAATTTAGAACACCAGATACCTTTGAAGACGACAGAGGCAATAGTGATTGGTAGGGCTGTTGGTAATGTTCTGTTTCTTGATCTGAGTCCTGATTACATGGGTGTGTTCACTTTGAGAAAATTCATCAAGCTATGCACTTAGAACTGGTGTATTTCAGTGTGTGTGCTGTGCCTCAATGACAAAATTACTGTTGAAAACTTTTTTAATTGAAAATGGTATTAGCACAGGCACATCCACACAAACACGAAGGTCAAGTGGAGCACTAAAGCAAAGTTTTCATGGCACAAATGAAATCAGCTCCTCAATAGACAAAGCCACTCCCCAAAAGGAGGCAAATACATTTGAATCTGGAAGCTTTGGGAACCAACAATGGCTGTGCACCTCTGCCTGGGTACAATGCTGGAGGTTTTTACATATTTTGATAAAGGATCATAGATTCTCAAAGTGGGAAGAGCTAACTGATCCCTAGTACAATCACCTAATAATACACAAATACCTTATAATTTTCAAATTTAAATTTTTTTATCTAAGGAATATATGTACATGGCTTAGAAGGCCAAATATAGCCTCCCTTGCCTTCCAAAAAAGAAAGAAATCCAGCAATTCCTGTCTCATGCTTTCTGTTCTCAATTTTAGCTTCCCAGAGGCAATCGCTTCCATCCACTTTTAGTGTTTCTTGTGGTATTTATGTCCATATTTTAAATAGCCAGCTGGAATCCTGCTATTTCTTGATTCTAGTCCGTTTTAAGGATTCATTATTTTCATACTATGGAAGGTAAGGAGTTAGCTCTTCCCACCTTCCTACAATATGACCAGTTCTCTTCCCAATATAGTTATGTTACTTTTATTTTTACATAAACAGACTTTCATTGCTTGTGTTATTCTGCCTGTGTAAATATTATTGGTGTTGAGTCACATCACATACAGTACTAAGAGTACATTCTCTTCTTGTAGGAGATTTTGTTTTTTTAGGGTTAACTTTGTAAAGAATTGTTTTAGATATCTTAAGAAGCCATCCCCAAACTCTGACAAAGATATACTAGCACATTGTCAGTTTTATCTCAATGTCTGGCTGCTTTTCATATCAATTTTCAACCAAGACTCCCTTCCCTCCCTGCACTTACATTTTTAGACATTCTTGGTCGTCTAATTCCTGAGGTTTTCCTGAGGTTCTACAGCTATAGAAAGAAGAACGTTGCCAGACCCTTGGCTGGAACTTGCACAGTACAGAGGGCTACAACTGTAGATGTGAGCCCGGATGATGCTTGAGGTCAAGTTAGGTGGTCTCTGATGCTCCCTCCACCCCCATTTCTATGATTTTTCGTGGGCTCAACCTCTTTCCTTTCACTAAACCTCTCTCTATGCCTTTCCCACTCCCTGCAGTTCTGGAGGATTCTGTCTTAAAGATGTGTTTGGGGGGAGATGCCAATGCAGTGACCCATAAATTTTTTCTCTTCCCTGGGTCACACGGAGCCCGTTTTTTTTTTTAATTCATCTTCCTGTAATAACCCTTTCCTGCGACAATCCCTGTTGACCAGTGCAGCTGATGCCCACCTGCTGTGAAAACAGGAAGGAAAAGAGGAAACTCCAAGGCATTTAAAGTCACCTAACATTGTACCACGCTGACTTCCATTGCCTGTGGACTTGCTCCATCTCAGTTTGGTGTTCATCTTAATCATTATTTCTCCAATTGTTTCTCACTTTCCACAAATTCATATACAGAGGTGGATTTCCTCTCATAGTCCTTGCATGACTAAGTTGAAGAAATAGAGCCCCTGGGAGACAACAGACGAGATTTCTACTTTTCTGTAAAGACCAATATGGTGCAGCACAGAACAGCAAGGGCAGTCCAAGAGTTACAGCTGATGAGCTCGAAGTGGTTTTCTTAGTCTCTCTGCACTCCATCTGGAGTGTGAGGGCTGACGTGGGTGTGAGAATTGGGGGAAAAAACTATTATTTGCCAATATCATCAGGAACAGCAATCACCACCTCACCAATCAATGGAGGGTCCCCATCATGGGACATGACAGCACAGACCCTGAGCAAGGAGTTCCACTGTGGCCCTCTCATCCTCTGATTTGGAGTTTCCATGCGATTTTGTTTATTTGTTTTTGTCATCTGATTTATCTCTTCCCTACCCTTTTTAATTTCCCAGTAGGCTTGAAAATGTAAAACACCTCCATTTTTTCCCTTTGTAACCTCCAGACGCTTGTGTTTCACGCTCAGCCAGTGTTTTTGGCCTGAGGCAAACTGCTTAAATTTTGAAACTCTAGTTTCTATTCTTATCCACTGTTAAGGCAATACATCTAATTACATACCAAATCTAACTTTTTTGAAGAAAAAAACGTGTATCTCCACCCACCTGCCCTACTTCATTATAACCTGGACAATGCTTTATCCCTTAGAGACTGCAAGGAGACACAGGTTGTGAAAGCTTGACAGCTGAATGTGATGCTTGTGTGAATTGATTAGTAACTCACTTGTATTTAAATTATTGTCATATATTTTTATACCCTCTTGTTTATACTTTAGATCATCTTGTAAAATGTGACAGAAATAGATTATCATATAATAACTAACATGTGATGGTTCATTTTAATGTGTCAGCTTGACTGGGCTAAGAGATGCCCAGATAACTGGTAAAATATTATTTGTGGGTTTGTCTGTGTGGGTGTTTCCAGAGAGATTAGAATTTGAATAGGTAGACTGAGCAAAGAAGATCCACCCTCACCAATGTGAGCAAGTGTCATTCGAATCACTGAGAGTCTGAGTAGAAGAAAAGGCATAGAAAGGGTATATTTGCACTCTGTGTTTGAGCTGGGACATTCATCTTCTGCTCTCTCAGACTGGTGTTCCTAGTTCTTGGGCCTTTGGACTCAGACTAAATTACACCACCAGCTTTCCTGGGACTCTAGCTTATAGACCATTGATCATGTGACACCTCAGTCTTCATACATATGAGTTGGCTCACTTGATATGTGATTCTATTGCTTCTATGTCTCTGGAGAACCCTGATGAATAACCCCCAGGTACTTATTCAACAATTAACTCATAGCGAATCTCATTTAATCTTCCGTCTCTCACTTACTTATTCCAGGATTATTTTGAAGCAAATCTAGACATCATAATTTTAACTCCAAATTGTTACTCTAATATATATATATTTGCCTCTTTATTTAAATTTTATGATATCATTATCATAACTGTAAAAGTGAGTCATTTCTTACTATTATCAAATGTCTTCAGCGTTCAATTTTCCCTAATCATCTCATAAATGCTTTCTGCCTCACAGTTTGTTGTTTGAATCAGGATCATAATAAGGACAATACATTGCAATGAGTTGACAATACCTCTTAAGGTCTCTTCTAACCTATAATTGATCCCTCCATCTCTTTTTTCACCTTTGCAATTTTATCTCGTAGCAAAACCAGATCATTTATACTGCCGAGTTTCCTAGTCTGGGATTTTGTTGATTGCACCCATTTTGTTATTTAACATATTTATCTGTCCCCGTGTTTCCTATAAACTGATGGCTAAATCTAGGGGCTTTTGCAAATTAGGTTTGCATCCTGATATGGACTATGTAATAATACCTCTTTATGCATTGTTCCTGTTAGTGCTTTCATTTCCAGAAATCACAGCTTGATGTGTATGCATATTTTGGAAGGAATATATATTTTTTCTCTCTTTTCCTACTTAACTGACATTCATATGTTCTCTGGGACTTGCTTTCTCTGTACTTTTTGGACTAAAATTGTGGGTACTTTTTCCTCCCAAAGGACATTAAAGAGATTAATTTATGAGCTCATTTTGGTGAAATCGGATTTCCTAAATCCCAGGCCCCTCTCCTGCCACATTCAAGTAGATACTATCCCAGCAATGGGCTGCATCTGTCTTCCAGTGACCACAATAAGTGCATGGAGATTGTGGCTCTTCAGAACAGATTCTCGGGAAAAAGTAACAAGCTATGCTTTTGCTGAAAGCTAATATGATCCATTTGTCCTTCCACTTCCCACAAACACATATCTAATTTAGTACATGTGGATGTAGTTTGATTAAAATAATTAGGAAGTTTCAGTGTGACGGGCTCACCACTGTTTGTGGACACACCCCTATGAATTCCCCATGGCACCTAGGAAAGGGAGCACACACAGCCTCTGGCCTCTGGGAACTTACAGTCTTGTACATAAGCAAACGCCCAACCAACTACATTGCAAAATGTGTCAGAATAAAGATTATATAGGAAGATGAACAAAACCCAATGAGGCTTTGAACAAGATGATGTACATCACACAGGAAGATGAACAAAGCTAAGGACAAGACTTCTCAGCAAGAAAAGATAACAGCCAGGGGACAAACTCTTCATAGAAGTGTGATACGGAAACAGCCTTCCGGGATAGAAAGAATTCTGACAAAAGTTAAGGACTATATTCAGGACAGAGGCTTTAGCACAGACCAAGGCGGAGGCAGGAAACATTTTACTGGGTTAGGATGTCCTGGAAGTATCGAGGAGTGGTTCTCCATTTTGGCTGCCATTAGAATAACTTAGGAGCGTTGAAAAACACAGAGGCCCAGGTCCATCCCAGACCAATCAATTCAGAGTCTCTGAGGAAGAGGTCTAGATATTTGTGACATTTAAAAAATTCCCAGAAGTGATTTTACTGGGCAGCGTGAGTTAAGAACCACAGGCAAACAGTGAAGCTTAACGGAGTGTTAAAACAGGGGAGGTGAACGGTCTCACCTGTTTCTGGCCATGAAGAAATTTGCCACAAAGTACCACACAGTAGCAGAGCTGCCAGAAACTCTTAGATCTTACCTGGGCCTATTCTCTTTTGATCGTTATGTGCTTATTACACAACTAACACCAGAATGGAGTCTTGTGGTAAATGACCTAAACTTTAAAATAAACACAGAATAAAAACCAGAAGGACCTTCACCACCATTCTCTAAGACTCCCTCTGGAAAGGTTACTGTTAAAAATCAACCAGTCTTTCTCTTTCCTAACTGCTCTTTAGATATTTACATTCCTGTACGTAGGTAAAAATTTTAGTTCACATATTAGGGTGAGAGAAATACCACACATTTATTTTCTCTCCCTAAACAAATATAATCTATTTTAAATTTGACCTCACTGGACTGGTAGGGAACTCCATTCCAATAGACACTGGGGTTCCCTCTTACACTTTGGCACCACCAGCACTGACTTTAGAACTTATGCCTTCCAGAAAATTCTAGAAGGGCTCTCTATTTTTATTTCATGCTGGTCTGCCTGTCAGCCTCATGGCTTAAGTCTGTCCCTCCCTTGAAGAACAGGCAACTCCCTGAAGATTCTGGGCACACATGGGCATAAAGATGCACGACAATTGCTCAATGCCACTGCTCTTAGGATGCAGTCCCAGGCTCACCCTGAGAATCACAGTTCAGCTCCCTTCTGGGTACTGCGTAGACGTGGGATCCAGATCTTCACTGCCACCCCTAAGGAAAAGTAGCATATCTATTTTTTAAGACCAGCTAAATGTCACCTCTCTCTCCAGGTTTCAGCTATTTTAATTTTTCTTACTAAACTTAAAATATGTTCCTGTATCCCTACTCCTTTTTGGGCCATTCCACAATAGTCCCTGATGAGTCTAAGCTTTTACAATAACGGCCTAGAGGGTGTCATCTTTTGGGCTAGCCTCCCAAAAGATGAGCCTTCCTTGGTTCCCGTGTAGCATGGGTGCTGAGTTAGGAGCCAGAGGTTTTGCCATCAGATCAACTGTGGCCTGGCGAAGCGGCTGTCAGCAGAAGCTGGAAGCAGGCCAGGAGGCCAGGTGGAGGGTATGGCAGAGATACACAGAGAGGGCCAATGAGAGCCTAAGTGAGCTGCAGCTGGTCCTTGACTCCACTTGGCTATGAGCAAGTCAACAAACAGCAAACAAGGTCATAATCTACAGACTTTGGCATCAGACTGGCAAACAGATGGCCAGGACAGAGAAGCCCCAGGGTAAGAAGACGTTGCAGGGACATCTCATACAGAGTTGGGGCTTCCTCCCTTCGAACCCCACATTATTAAGACCCAATAAGCTTCTTTATACATCCATAGTCATTTTGTAGAAAAGCAAGGAAAGTGGGTAGAACCCTGGGACACTAGCATTTTTACCTAAAGCCATTGATCAAAATTGCAATCTTCTGTTTAAATTATTGCATCAGCCTAGACTGTGGTTACTCGACTGGGGTAAGTTTTACAATGTAGTTTTTTTCCTGCTGCTCAATGAGTGAGACTTGGAAGAAGACCATATTACTTTCTATAATAAAGAAACATTTCCACTCGGCATGGTGGCTCATGCCTATAATCCCAACACTTTGGGAGGCCAAGGCGGGCGGATCACCTGAGGTCAGGAGTTCAAGACTAGCCTAGCCAACACAGTGAAACCCCATCTCTACTAAAAATACAAAAATCAGCTGGGCTTTGTGGTGGGCGCCTGTAAGCCATCTACTCAGGAGGCTGAGGCAAAAGAATCACTTGAACCCAGGAGGCAGAGGCTGCAATGAGCCGAGATTGTGCCATTGCACTCAAGCCTGGGCAACAAGAGCGAAACTCTGCCTTAAAAAAAAAAAAGAAAAAGAAACATTTCCTTTGTACATCTGAATTACAATGTGAGTTCTTTTGTGATTGCGCTTCATTTGCATTTCACTAAAGAATCGGGTCTTTTAATATATTTTTAATTATGTATATTTCCTTTCCTACCAATTTTCTGTTTATACGTTTGTCTATTGGTATGTATCTTCTTTCCTTTATTTGTAGGACCTCTTTATGAAGATTGAATGTAGCACCAATGTAACAGACATAGGGATGAGACCCGGTGGGGGAATATAGTGACTTTCCAAGGTCAGAGCACTGAATGGAGAGTCATAGCTATGGAGACCAGTCTACTTGTGCTCCTGAATCACAGTCTAGGCTACTGTCACTGCTCAACTCATCTCCTTTGAGTATAACATTAGGAAATATGCCTATATAAATATTAGAGATTGTGATCATTTATTTTTATAACACTATGTTTTTCAGCAAATATTTACAGAGTTTCTAATATGTTCAGGGGACTAGGATGGAGAATAAAGATACAATGGTGAGAAAAACAGGTATGATCCCCCATGAAGCTTATAGACTAGAAGGAAAAACGCATTACTCAGACCACTGCACCCATCCACATAGAGGCATATGGTAATGGTGGTGCCGCCATTGCCTCAGGGTCAAGAAAGACTTCTCTGAGAAGTAGCATTTGAGTTGAGATCTGAAGTATGAACAGGCTTTATTTAGGCGAGAAGGGATGAGGAAGAGCATCCTTAGCCAAAGAAACTGCGTATACCAAGGCCCTGTGCAGAAGGGAGAATTACTCACTCAAGGAATGGGACAAGGCCCAGCACGGTAGAAGGTTAGAGTTCGGAGGCAGGTGGCCGGGGGCTGGAGAGTGACCCAAGACACTGCTGAAGACAGGAAGGTAGGGGCTAGATCTTACAGGGCCTTGTGTATTCCAAGAGCACTTGCCATTATTTGTAGTGCAGCTGGATATCCGGGCAAGTCCTCCTGGACACAGAAGGTCTCTCTTCTCCCTGCTTTCCAATCCCTTACCCCATCCTACTCTCTCTTAGTTTTCATGGGGAGGAACACAGCCAAGAAAGGCTTTCGTAAATGGAATCCCTCACTGCTCCTTTTTAAAAGAATTCTGTTTTCCTTAAGAACCTACTCTCAGGATAGGACCTGAAAACCTTTCTCAGTAAAGACTAGATATTTACATGACATGAATGAAACACCTGCAGAAAGACACAGGCTGCAATGCCCCACCCACAGGAAATGGCATGGTGGCTTCTGTAATCAACCTGGATCAGTCTATTTTGAGGAGAAAACAGTAGAACTTCACTTATGCCCCTGGAGAGAGAGAGAGTGAGAGTAAGACAGAGAGAGAGTGGGTAGGGAAAGAGAGAGAGAGATGGCTGGGGGAGGAAGGTACTACCTCATTGATTTTGAGCTGCATTCATTAGGTTACTACATTAATGATGCTATAAGGCTTTTTTTTTAGTCACCAATATCCACTTTCAGACACATGGGAAGATGTCCTTTCTCTCTCTCTTTGAAGTCAGGTGTGACAGTGCAACCGGCTCTGGCCAATAGAATGTGCATGGAAACAACATATGATCATTGCTGTGGTTAACTTCCTAGACTATTCTTTCCTTGTTGCTCCAGTCTTCGGACGCATGTATTAACATGGAAGTGCCACAAAAGGAAAGTAGCCTGGATTTCTCAGAGGACAATCATGGAGGACAACTGTTTGCCCATATTCATCATGAAGGACCAGCAGAGACAGAAAACTTTAGGTGTGCTACTGAGACTTTGGGGTTGTCTGTTACAGCAGCATTGCTGAACCTGACTAATATATATGTTTATTTCAAAGCTGAGAAACATCAATGTGCACACATAAATTGTGTGTGTATGTGTGTTGTAGGGTGTGTGTTTGTTGGGTGTGTGTTTTGAAAGAGAGAGAGAAAGAGAAAGACAAAACTGATTTACAGTAAGAGTTTGATTTTAGAATAAGATGCATGTTCCTTAACTGCTTGATTTAAGCTAGTTTGGGACTTTCAGTTGCAAATTACACAAATGGATATATAAGTATATGTAAACAAATGCACGGCTTACGTAAGTGTTTATGCACAATATGAAACATATTCTTATGTTTTCATTTTGCACTGGCATAAAAATGTACTATGGTCACTCAGAGTTGTCTTCTACAATCCACAAATAATATTTAAAAACTTGAGCTAACTAGTCAATTAAAAGCTCAAGGCAAACTTCATCTTTAAGATGCATTCCAGATTACCTTCTGAGTCATGGACAATGCACACTGTACATTCATACCAAAGCATAAGAAAAAGCCAGATCTAGGTTTAGTTTTATATTTCCTGAGTTTTCTTGATTGCCGTCTGATCCTTGATGTTATTCCAACATACAGTGATTTTTAAAGGAGAATTTAATTTAATATAAGTCTGAATATCCTTTGGAATGCTAGAAACCAGCATTACTCCAGCAACCCTAATGAAAAACACAAGTTCCGTGTACCAATTTGTGGTCAGAGCCGGCATTCCAACCCCGCTCTCTCGTGGCTGCCAGTACTCCATCGTGTTCCTTTTCCCAGCCCTTTGCTTTTCTAGCTAAAGATGTCAGAGGCTGTGGCCCACATGGTATGCTAAACAGCCCACTGCTTACAGAAGGCTCTTACAGCTCAAGTGCAAAGACTTTGAACTTATAAAACACACCACCATCCCCACCACCACCAACACTAAATGGAAGTCTCCGAGGATTTCCTATTAATGTCCCGGCCGATGGACGTGCACTTATTTTAAAACATCCTACATGTGCACATAGATGCATTTCCATATAGATTCAAGACAAAAAGCACAGCACCTTCCAGAAGAAAACTCATACAATTAGGCTGAGGCTGATTCACTCGCATGTTTTATCACCGGTGTGGAATGCCAGTAACAAGAGCAATCATTTGTTTGTGAATTCACGGAAGACTGGACTTTCACACTGGAAAGGGACTTCCCAATGAATAGCAATGGGGAGACTTGCTGTGTATTAGCATATTTTATCTGCCCTTGTTTTGAAATTAAACAGAGTTGTGGTTGAAAGGGGAAGGCACAGATTGTCACTGGGCTGGCTTTTTAGAAAAGTGGCATTTGGAATGAGGTTTAACTATGTGGGCAAATTCTAAAGTTAACTCTTAGGATTCTTGGGCTTGCAGAAGATGTTTTCTCCTCCTCGCTGTGATAACAGAATTTTCAGTCACTACTATTCTTTCCAGAAGGCTACTCATTCTTGGATACAATGCCTCTCTGTTTTGACTGGAGATACTTAAATATAAATCAGGAGAATTCTAAGCTGTAGCAAAGGCTAATCTGCAAAGCGAAATAAAATTGTACTCCACATGTATTTACTGAACCCATATATTGTGCTCAAGGCTAGTCTAAGCATCTTGGGGTCAGGGGAGTTGGGGGAGAAGACAGATGGATGGATAACAGAATTGAGATTGAGGTCAAGATCAAGATGGAAATAGAGGTAGAGGTAGGTGTATAAGACACTAGGAGAAAATTTAAAGTACTATGTCATTAAAAGCAATGAATATTCTAGAAGTTCTAAGAAAAAAAGATGAGCATGAGCTGAAGTATTCAGAGAGGATATCAAGAGGAGAGGTGAGTCTACATCTAAATTTGACAGAAGAGGGGATGATTCAGATAGATAAGGGGCAGGCATTCTGGAACTGGGAGTCAGTTATTACGCACAATAATTAAGAGTATAGGCGTTGCGTTGTCAAAGTATGATCTTCTAAACATTAAAAGCATGCCTCTCATAAAAATTTGAGGTGCATACCTTTGAAAGGTCTCCTTAGCTCATTAAGGAGGGAATCAGTGTATTATAAAGCTGACTCAACAGAATGTACAAGAAATCAAAGTACACATTGTTCGTGAGAGTCAGAAGACTGAAATAAGATTGTTAAGCTGAAAACAAAACTGATCAATGTTCTATGGACAACAAAACTATAATATTTGAGGCTCCCTTTCCTACCGAGCAAAAATATTCGCCTCTCTACTGTACAAAGATCATTCGCAATTTGACAGTCTCTACTGAGTTAAAATAAGTCCACAGAGTCTAGATCTTAAGCAATAATAATTGTACGTCAAACAAAAATGCATCTCCCTGGAGAACCAGGAATTCCTTATGGAGGCCTGTCTGACAGTGCTCTCATTTAACATTGAAAAGACACAATATGGACAGGATCTACAAGTTTGGGGTACTTTTTAAAACAGTATTCAGGCAGAAGGGAGTTCTCATCTTTTTCCAGCATTTGCCTGCTGTATGATGTGGCAATGTGCCTTAACTTCATGGTTCTTCAATTTCTTTATCTATAAAATATAGACAATAATAGTTCTTAGCACATAGACTTATCATAGGGATCAAATGAGATAATATACGATGTCAGAGTTTTGCATAATGCCTAGCACATAATGCCTAGGGCTTGAGATACATTTCCTCATGTAAATAGGGAAGGATCACAAGCAAAATCTCACAGATACAAGTGAGCACAATGTTTGGAGACCACTAGATGGACCAACCTGGCTGGAGGAGAGAACAGGGAAATAGAGAAAGATAAATTAATAGTTTTCAGACAGATTTGTGTAGATCTAAAATAATTTTTAGAAATAAGGAAAGGACAGAGAAGTGCACAGACATTTTGAGAAATCTGGGTTTTATTCTGAAATGAGAAATACTGATCTCAGACACTGTTGGTATTTTTTTGTGCCACATAATGACACAGTGAATGCAGAATCTGGGGAAAAGTCACGCAGCTTTCTATAGGGCAGTGTGGAACAGGGAGAGTCTGTGGTCAGAGAGGAGAGTTAGGAAGTGGTAAAGGGTTAAGAAGCCAAAAACTACAGTGTGAAACTGAAAGATTGTGGGAATGGTGTTCTGTTTGATATTAATAGACAGCTTAGGAAAAGAAGACAATTTTAAAGTGAAGATGAGGAATTCTGTTTGCATCTACTGGCTTTATTTGGGACTAAGAGATATGGATGTTGAAATGCTGCATAGGCTGTGGGAGACCAGGATTTAGATGAGAAACTAATGGTGAAGATATCGCTTTAGAGGTCACCTATACAAACATGAAAGCCTTGAAAGTCCATGGACAAACCTAGCACTGAAGAGAAAAGAGTGGAGGGACAAGAATAACACATGTGTTTCTCTCTCTCTTTCTCTCTCTTTTTAAATATAGATGTTTTCCAAAGGGTAAAAACATAGATCATTGGAAAGAGCAGGGGGAAAAGCTCTAATACTTTGGAATTGAAAACTGAAGGGCGATGCAGGAAAGAGAAGAAAGCCAACCCTATTGAATAATCCCCAGAGCTGATGGAGAGCAGTGGAGGCAAAGCACACTGAGTTGAGTTGACCTCACCATTAACTGGAAGACACTCTGGGAATACACGGGATACATGGCTTCAATCCACTCTGAGTCATAACTCACCAACAGGAGGGAGTGTTTGCTGGTGGAAGAGTTTGCTGGGAGAAAGGAAACATTAAAGCATGAGGGAAACTGAAGGTGAGGACATCAGAGCATGTGGTACCTTAGGTTTGGTCCCCTTTCAAAGCCACCCTGGAACACGAATGCGAGTGCAAGCAGTTGATTTAGGACGTGATCCCAGGAAGGAACAGGAAAGCAGACAGTGGGCCAAGGATAGGAAGAAAGTCAATGCAGGGTACATTAATCAGCAGGGTCACCCTGTGGGCAGCCAGGGCTCAGTCCTGCTCGGAGCCTGGGAAGGACAATGAAGAGCAGGTTTGAGAGCCATCCCACCTAGCGGAGAGTCTCCGGAGTACTCAGTCACCAGGTCTAGGCTGCTGGATGAGAGATGTTCCTGGATTTTAACTCTCTGGTACTTTTGGTCTATTTGTGCCTGCGACCAGAGAAAGCCCTGAGAATAGAGCATAGGGCTGCCAGTAAGAACAGCAAGTACCGAGGGGCTCAGGGTGGGGCACCCACAAGGTTTAGAGAGCAGAGGCTGTAGCCAGACTGCCTGCATGTGAATTTGGCTGGGTTTTCTGCAGCTGAGAACAACTTCTGGGGCAGGGCTACTGGGGTCTTCTGATGTAGGTCCAGTTCAGCTTGCTTCTAGACTGGCCTTGAAAACCTAAAAGAGTCTAGTTATTTGTCGGGAGTCTAATATCATTATTACTCGCCACGTTTTGGCCACCCGCTGTGTGCCAGGCATTGTACAAGGTGGTTTCTATGTGACAGAAACCCCTGCCTCTCCACACAATCTGTTCTCCTCAGCCTCAGTGGACAGGGGCTTTGTTACCTTGGCATTAAGTGGCACAGATGAGTTAGCATCACTCCTGAAGTTTCTTCTGTAAAGATGATTAATATTAGGAGTCGCTATAATCCAGAGACCTAAGGATCTACAGTACTTTTTCAGGATCGATTGGGGGATGACGGTTGTCATGGTATTGAGAGTGTTGCAATGTTCTCATCAGACAATCACAAACACACACTGAATCCAGAAGATGCTGGACTATGGGGCATTTCTTTTCACACCGTGCAGGTCCAAGAAGTCTTTATTCTCTACACTTTCTCCCTCTGCTCTCCCTCTTCCCGCTATTAGTTCTCTCCTTCTCTGGCTTCCCTTAATCATTCTGGCTCAATCCTAGGAGCATGTGGCAAAGCTGGCTCTGTTTCCTCTAAAGTGCTCCAGGTCCACTTGGCTGTCCCTTTCCTTAGAAACACATTCTTGGGGTTCTGGGGAGACAACAGCTCCCTGTCATCACTAGCTGAAGGGAACAGTAACATCCTTCATTAGATCCTCTCAACCTTGCTCACATCTTTATAGATAGTCGCTTTATCAGCCTCACTTCAAATTACCAAATAGGGTTTATCTCCTGTTTCCTGCGGGACTCACAGCACTCAACTACAGGCAACTCTGTGGCAGAAACCCCACCTTATGCTTCTCTCTGAGTCTGTCCCTGCAGAGATACAACCACAAATGTTAGTAAAGATTAAAACTGAGGTTCAGTGTGGACTCCATCAGAGGAGGGTGACTGTTCCTAGAGAAAAAGCATTTTCAGAAGGGGCACTGTAACTTCATTCTTTAGCTCAACAAATACTGAAAGCCAGGCACTGTTCTAGGTGCCAGGAAAATAGTATGAGCAAGACGCAATTTCTGCCTCAGGGAGTTATATTCTAATGGAAGGAGTGAGTCAGAACAAATGCACTTTCATATAAATTAAAAAGACAATTTCAGATATTGCTAAGTAGTATTTTAAAGTGCTAGAAATGGGAGGATACTCTTTGGGGTTAAATAGCTAACTAAGGCACTTGTAAATTCATTTCTAAACTGATTGGGCACCTTCCTTAGCATAACTGATGCACCCCATCTTGAGGACTTCTAAATCACTGAGGGTAATTTTAACAATGCAATTCGATGCTGGAAGGAAGAATGAATCACTGAAATTTGAGTATTAATGTTAAAGGGACTTATTTGCACCCAAAAGCAGGACTATACATCTCTCCACCCTTATCATTAACATCTCTAGTAGTTCAAGAAAAACTGTTTCATTGAAGAGTTGCTGCCCTGTTTTCTTCTCTCACAGAGACTGGAACTCTGATCAAAATGATATGAAGATGCTATGATTTGGCTTCTGCAATCAGAGTGGAAATGACTTTTGGCTGTGGGTGTGTGAGGTTTCTCTCAAAAGGGAATGTGAGGGTGAGCACTAATGTGCTAATAAACCTCTGTTGGCTGGAAAGAGGTTTGGTCAACGAACTGTGAGAGAAGCAGAATACAGTCCCAAGAAGTTGCAAGATGGGGTCTGCTTTACTGGAATTGGAATCAATTCCAAACATTTTGTGGTTCAGCCGTTTAAACATTGACTTAAACATTTGGACATGTATCCATATCTGGTCTAGCCTGGAGCCACTGTAACTTTCACATGAAATCCACTGCAAGCTACTAATTATTGTCTTCACAAAAACCACAGTGCAGGCAGTAGCTGAATTCTGAAAACGGGTTTTCTGCTCTCAAGGAATAATACTAAAGGGAGGAAATTTGTAGATACCCAGGACCCCTACCCACAAGTGTTTCCCCAAAATTTATTAATTTAATTCCAGGGCTCTCCTTCCCTTCTCTGGGCCCCATAGCTACCAGGTTCTCTCATCCTCAGCTCTCTGGCTTCTTCCCTCACGGCACACCGATTGTAGCTTCTAGAGCAAGCGGGCTCAGGACTGAGAGGTAATCTCAGTTGACTATGGCAGCTTAAGGATGGAGCGCCTTATGGTGGCTTTTGTCAAAGTATTTAAACACTTATGCGTGCCCAGTGTGTTTGACCTCTTCTAAGGAACTTATCACGTGTCTAGTGGAATGACAAAAATTTGGTAGCGTAAGATCTTTTCTCATCCCTGATACATGAAAGGCCATGGTTCTCACACTTTGTAGACTCGGCACTTCTTCATACTCTTAAAATTATTAAGGCTCCCCAAAAGCTTTTTTGTTGTTGTTGTTTTTTGTTTTTGGTTTGGGGGGATGGATGGAGTCTCACTCTGTCACCCAGGCTGGAGTGCAGTGGCACAATCTTGGCTCACTGCAACCACCACCTCTCAGGTTCAAGTGATTCTCCTGCCTCAGCCTCCCCAGTAGCTGGGATTACAGGCGCATGTCACCACACCTGGCTAATTTTTTATTTTT